AGCTGTCCTGGAACTCCCTATGTAGACCAGGCTGGCCTTGAACTCCCAGAGGTCTGCCTGTCTCTGACCCCCGAGTGCTGGGACTAAAGGTGTGGGCCACCATACTTGGCTTTATTTATTTATTTATTTATTTATTTATTTATTTATTTATTATTTTTATGCTGCAGAGGCAGGCAGATCTCTGTGAGTTCAAGGTCAGCTGGTCTACAAGTGATTTCCAGGCGAGCTGGGGCTATAGGGAGACCCTGTCTCAAAAAATGTTTTTAATTTATCACTTTTATTTTATGTGTATGAGTACATTGCCTGCATATATATAAGTGCACCTGTGTTGTGAAAAGCCGAAGGAGGTCAGAAGAGGGCTTTGGATTCCCCTGGAACTGGAGTTGATGGTTTGTAGCCGCCATGTGGGTACTGGGAATCGAACCCAGGTCCTCTGCAAGAGCAGTCAGTGCTCTTAACTGCTGAGCCATCTCTCCAGGCCCTCCCCCTTATTTTAAAAAATATTTTATTAATTTTTTTTGTCTTTTTGAGACAGGGTCTCCCTGTAGCCTCAGCTGGCCTGGAACTTGCTATGTAGATCAGGCTAGGCTTGATCTTACAGAGATCTGCCTGCCTCTGTCTCCCAAGTATTGGGATTAAAGGTATGTGCCACCATGCCCAGCTTATTATTTAAATTTATGTGTATGAGTGTATTACCTGAATGTATGTAAATGCACCTGTAAATGCCCGAGGAGATCAGAAGAGAATGTTGAATCCCCTTATTTTTAAATACTGGAGATTGAATTTAGGGACTCATACATGTTACACATGTATTCTACCACTGGATTACATCCTCAGCCCTATCTCTACCCTTTTCTAAGTTCATCTCCTAGGCTCCCTTCACCCTCTTCCTCCTTCACCCAGAGGTCTTTCTAGTGTTCTTCAAGCACAAGAGATGGCCTGCTGACTCAGAGCCTTTGCAGTAGCCTCTCCCTTTTGCTTGAACTGATATTCTGCCACAAATTATTCCCATAGATTTGCTCCTTCAGCAGATCGCTGCTCAAATGTCACCTTCAGTAAAGTCTTTGCTAACTACTCTGTTTTCACTTTTTTATTGAGCTTTTAAAATTTCATACATTTCCCACTCAAATCCAGACCCCCTCCCGCCTCCATGCCTCCCCCATCCTTCCACTGAACCCTATGCACTCTGCCATACATGCCGAGTCATATTCATTCAGGTGTTTGTAGCCAAATGTTCTTCACTGTAAATATGTCCACTGGAGTCTAGTCAGCCCACCCAGTGGTCATATGTAAGTCATACTCTCCCTCACCCAGCAGCAATCAGTCTTAAATAGTTCTCAATCTAGAGCTGGCCCACCACCTATTTCTCACCTCCCCTTTGCACCCTTGTTTAGTTGAGCTGACAATGGGTCCCAGGCTCGATGTGACCACTGCCACAGGCTCACATGAGCAAGCCTCCAGTGGCCTGGAAGCCTCCACCTCCCTGTGTTCATGAACCAGCCCTGATTCTTTATGTCTCCTCTTCTGCAATGGTCTGTGAGCCATGGGTGAGTGAGGTTCCATCTAGGAGTCCCATCCTACACTCTATAGTCCCTTATTCTCCAGAACTTGGCCAGTTGTGGCCTTCTGTGTGCATTGCACTCTGACATACATGGAAGCCTCACTGGTGAGAGTTGAGGAATGCATTAGCCCTCTCTCTATCCCTTATTCCACTATGTTCCATAAGCCTTAGTTGTAGCAATTTGGCTGCAGATGTGTCACCTAGTACTGGGCATCTCCCAGGAATATTTTCTCTGTGCCTGACAGATGTGCAACTCTGCAGTAGCCTTCATCTGACTAACTACTCTGTTTAAAATGGTCATATAGGAGCTAGCGAGATGACTCAGTGAGTAAAAGTGTTTGTAGCACAAGCTTGTTGACCTGAGTTTGATCCCCAGAACCCATATGGTGTAAGGCGAGAACAGACTCCCACAAGTTGTCTTATGACCTCCAAACATGTGCTGTGGTACCTGTGTGCCCAAATAAATAAATAAATAAATAAATAAATAAATAAATAAATAAGCTTTATCATGGATATGCATATATAGGAAGGATTCCACAGTAACTGAAGGTTTGGAGTAACTGAAGGTTTCAGGTTTCAGGCATCCACTGGGTGTTCTGGAACATATTCTGAAAGAATGACTGTACTATCTTATTTTAAAATATTTCTTTACAGGGGGCTGGAGAGATGGCTCAGCAGTTAAGAGCACTGGCTGCTCTTGCAGAAGACCAAGTTCAAATCCCAGCACCCACATGATGGCAAACAACCATCTGTAACTCCAGTTCCAGGGGATTCGATGTCCTTGTCTGTCCTCCTCAGGCACTGTACAACATGAGTGCACTTACACACATGCAGGCATAACACCTTATACACATGAAATAAAATCATTTATTATTACTGTGTATTTATAGAAAATGCGTACATATGGTGTGTGTGTGTGTGTGTGTGTGTGTGTGTGTGTGCGCATGATGTGTATGAGCATGTGGTGGTCAGAGGACAACTTCTGGGAGTGGATTCTCACCTTCCATGGTGGGTTCTAGAGACTGAACTAGGTCTTCAGGCTTGTGCAAGTGTGCTTTTTCCTGCTGAGCCATGTCCCAGCCCCCATTCTGTTTTTAAAGAATGTTTCTATTTATTTTTATGTTATGTACATGCATGTGTGTCTGTTTATCTTTATGTAGATCACATGTATACTGATGCTGATGGACGCCAGAAGAGGCTGCAGAACTCCAGGAACTGGAGTTACAAGTGATTGTGAGCTGCCCTACGTGGCTGTTGGGAACTGAACTCTGGTTCTCTGCAAGTGCTCTTAACCCTTGAGCTACCCACGCCCTCCGCCCTTTGAGACAGGGTCTATGTAGCCGACTGGCCTCAAAGCCACAGAGATCATCTGACTCTGCCTTAAAAGGCATTCCCCACCATAGTAAGTGGTGAGGCGAGGCATGGGATGAAATAAATGAACCCCAATTTGGCAGCTGCGATCTAGATTATTACTTTTTTCCTCTAAGATTTATTTTTAAAATTATGTGTATGTGTTTATGTGCATGTGTGTGCAGGAGCCCGCAGAGGCCCGAAGAGGGCGTTGAATCTTCCGGAGGTGGCGTTAGAGGCAGAAGAGCAGCCAGGACTCTTAATCGCGGAGCCGTCTCTCCAGCCTTATTTTCTTGTGAGCGTTGTATGTTTGTGCCGTGCGGTGTATGCGCAGGTTTGTGATGTTTCAGGTTGAAAGGACGAAGCCCCGCAGTTTAGGGACCCACCAGTGCACGCTCCAGAGCCTCGCGCCCGACTCAGGGTGGTGCCGACCGGAAGCAGGAAGTGGCGGAGGGCGGTGCGCGTAACGTCACGCCAGCGCCGGCAGCGAGGGGCGGGGGCGGAGGCGGAGCGAGCCCGGCGGCGGGGCGGTCGCGCAGTGTCCGGGATCCCCAGGCCTGGAGGGGGCTCTGCGCGCGGCCGGCTGGCTCTGCTCCCTTGTCGGGTCCCGAGCGGGGCCTCCCTCGGGCCAGCTCGATGTGACGGGGTCCCGCCGAGCCTGAGCGAGCAGCGGGTCCGTCGCGGAGCCGGAGGGCGGGAGGAACATGACATCCCGGAGGTGAGGCTCGGAGGGGCCCGGTCGCGGCCTCGGTCCCCACCACCTTAGCGCTGCCCGGCCTCCACGGCCGCCCCGGTGAGGCTCGGGACTCAGAGGTCGGAGGCAGGGACACCGGCTCTCTCCCTCGGCCCCCGGCTCTCGGCATCCCGGGCTGGGCCCTTGACGCCCCCACCCGCGGGTCCCCATTCATTTCCTGCTGCCCAGAGTTCCGGCTCCTGAGCAGCCGGGGGATGCCCGGCGGGACACCGGCGGCCGCCTGCGGCCCGGCTCGCCGCCGCATTCCTGACCCATTGCCTCATGAGAATTGCCTCATGGGGATTCCGAAATAACCCTGGCGCCCCGGGAGGCTCCTAGACCGGAGACCAGGCGCCCGGCCCATAGCGGCTCCGGGCCACCGCGGGGCTTTCGCCCAGGAACCCCTCACCCTTTCAGGTGCTCCCTTTCCATCTCCTTTTCCCTCACCCTTCGTGTATCAGAAATGGAAAAACTGACGGTATCTGCAGCCACTTCAAGTATTTCCTTCCTTAGCGAGGTGGGAGAGAAGGGAGTCTTATCTAGTAGTTGACTCTTAATACCTTAAAAGTCAGGTAGCTGGTGGTTCCCGTTTTACGGATGTGGAAGCTGAGACTCCGAAATAGCATGCTAACATGACAGGATTTGAAGCTAAGGGTCAGGAGAAGGATTAGTTATTTAGATCATTTGCAAGTTCGAGGTAACAATAAGACTTATTGCTAACATTTACTTTGTCCTTACTCAGAAGCCAGCCAAACCCGTTTAGTGCAACAGCCCTATGAGGTCAGTAGTATTATCCCGTTCTAAAGATGAGTAAATTGAGTTTCAGAATTAAACAGCTTGTCTTATGTCACTCGCAATAAGTGTTGGAGACAGAATCCTGGATGTTAATTACCATGTTGCCATTATTATTTTATAGCCATTGCTAATTATTTGTAAGCCTTCATTTTGTTCCTAAACACTAGTGTGATCTCTGGTTTTTAAATAATGATCCTGCTATTCGGTATCAGCACTTTTTTTTTTTTTTTTTTTTAATCTTTTTGAGACACAGTCTCTCTGTAACCCCCACTGGCCTGGAACGAACTATGTAGACCAGTCTGGCCTTGAACTCACAGGGATCCGTTCGCCCCTGCCTCCTGAGTGCTGGGCCGGCCGTATCAGCACTCTTTATATAGCACTCACACATATGACTCTGTTCTTTTCTATGACAGTTCAATTTTATGACCACTAACAGACATTTGGAAAATGGTTTCAAGTTGTTGGGGTGTACTTGAATGAGAGACCTTTCAAAATGTTAGGAATGTCTCCCTAAAACACACCTGAATGGTATCCATTCACAGACTGAAACAAAAAAGGGGAGAAAAAAGAAAATTGAAAACTTGTAGGAAGTGAGTGATTTGGACAGGTCTCTTGGCAAGTGCTTGCAGATCCAGGTAATACATAACTCCATTTCAACAAAACAGTGTATAGCCTCAAATATTCTAATTCTTCAGGGAGCTTTTAAATAAAAGTTGTCTATTCTTTAATCTGTCAGATAGTCATTGAGCCTTTAGTTCCTCTTCCAGACTGGTAAGAATCTGCTGCTTTAGGAGACAAAAAGACAGGACAGGACTGAGGGTGGGGAGAGGGGTGAGTAGTAATAGGGGGTGAGTCCAGCTTTTTAGTTTAGAAGCAGGAAAGTGTGGGCATAGCCTAACAGTGAGTGGTCAAGATGACAGTTTGAAGTGGAGCCATTCCTTCCTTCCAGCACTGATATTTTTTATGCACCTATTTTAGAGATGAATGTATTCTGTAAATTCAGGTTAAGCTGTAAGGTTGATTGAGGCAGGGTCTCACTATGTAGCTCAGTTTGTCTCCAATTTACATTTCCTTAACTGAGGTTAATCCTCACTGAATCCTAAATGCTGGGATTACAGGCCTGTACCACCATACCAGCTTGCTTTATTTTGTTTGATTTTAATCAGCTTTATTTAGATATAAATGGCATGTGATAAATTGCATCTATTTCAGTGTACAGTTTGGTAAACTTTGACTTATGCATACATTTGGGAAACCATTACACCTGTCAAGATAAGGGACGTATGTATCATCTTGGTGAGGTTTCCTCTGTTCTTTGTAATCTCTACTTTTTTTGTCTTTTTGAGACAGGGTCTCCCTGTAGCCCCAGCTGTCTGGAACTCATTATGTAGACCAGGCTAGCCTCCAACTCACAAAGATCCACCTGCCTCTGCCTCCGAAGTGCTGGGATTAAAGGGGTGCGCCACCACACCCGGCTTTGTAATCCCTACTTGTTCTTGGATGACCACTGTTCTGCTGTTACCATATGTTGGGTTGCATTTCCTACAATTTTCTATAAAAGAAATTAGATTGTACATTTTTTGTTTCTAAATTATTAAAACTTTAAAACATTTATTTTGTGTGTGTGCATGTATGGTCACATGCCATGGTGTATATGTGTAGGTCAGAGGACAATGCTGGGAGTTGATTCTTTCCACCATGTGGGTTCCAGGGATTGAACTCGGGTTGACAAGCTTTGTGGCAAGTGCTTTACTCACTGAGCCATCTCTGTAGCTCTGTCTAGGTGCTGCTGCTGCTGCTGCCTTTTTTCAAAAAACAAACACCCTCCCCACCCCCAAATCCATTTATTTGTTTGGGGGCATATGTGGAGGTTAGAGGCTCTTTCCTTCTACCATGTTTTCCTGGGGGTTGAACTCAGGTTTTTAGGGTTGTCAGCAGGTGCCTTTACGTGCTGAGCCATCTTGCTGTTCCTGCCCTGCTCCTTACATGCTATAAAAATATTCTACAATCATCCATGTTGTCTCATGTTCATTACTTGTTACTGCTTACCTGAACAGTACCCTACTGTGAGATAAACTGTGCCTTGCTTATTTATCCTCCTATTGATGGACATTGTCTATTTCCAGAGTTGTCAGTCAATCACAAATGATGGTTTGAATGCTCTTGTAGATGTGTCAGCACAGTCACATTTCATTTCTTTGGAAGGGAATACCTACAAGTTGAATGGCAGGATCATACAGTAGATACATATTTAACCTTTACAGAAACCGTCAGCCTGTTTTCAAAAGTGCTTACACTGTTTACTTTCTGACCAGTACTCTGTGAAAGTTGCATAGTTTGTTCACATTGTTGCCAGTACTTGGTATAGTCAGTTCTTTTAATCCGAGTCATTTTTTTTGGAATGTCAGGATATCTCATTGCAGTTCTAATTTCTGTTTTCCCTAATTATTAATAATGTGATTATTTGGCACCTCTATGTTTTCTTTGATGATGTATCTGTTCAAATCTTTTGCCATTTTTTCTTTGTTTCGTAGGATCTAATGCTGTCTTCTGGCTTTCATGGGCGTTGCATGCATGGGTGCACATACATATAAGCAGACAAAAACACATGTACACATAAAATAAAAATAAATAAAAAATAAAAATAATTCCAAGCCTAGCAGTGCACACCTTTAATCTCAACAGTCAGGAGGCTGAGGCAGGAAAATTGCTGTGAATTTGAAGCTAGCCTGGGCTGTACAGCAACACTCTGTCTCAAATATAAGTCTTTTTTAAGAAAATAATTTATTATTATTTTTATTTTATGTGTATGAATGTATTGCCTGCATGTAGGTGTGTAAGTGCACCTGTGTTGTGCAGTGTCCCCAGAGGTCAGAAGAGGGTGTCGGATCCCCTGGAACTGGAGTTACGGACAGTTGTTAGCTGCCATGTGGGTGCTGGGAATCAAACCTGGGTCCTCTACAAGAGTAGCCAGTGCTCTTAACTGCTGAGCCATCTCTCCAGCCCCAGCAACAGTCTTTTTATTTATTTTATTTTTTTTGTTATTTTTATTTTATGTGTATGTGTGTATTGACTGCATGTAGGTAAGTGCACCTATGTCGTGCAATGCCCGCGGAGGTCAGAAGAGGCTGTCGGATCTCCTGGGACTGGAGTTACAGACAGTTGTTAGTTGCCATGTGGGTGCTGAGATTTGAACCCCAGGCTTCTGCAAGAACAACCAGTGTTCTTAACTGCTGAGGCATCTCTCCAGCCCTGCAAGCCTTTATTATCCCAGTGACCCACATTAATGAAATGTCTATCCATTCATTGAAGCACTTCATAAACACACACACACACATTCGTTCATTGAGACAGGCTTTCATGTAGCCTGGCTGATCTCACACTTATCATTATAGCTGAGGATAGCTTCAAACATTCTTTCTGCTTCTGCCTCCCAAGTGTGAGGATTGTAGGTATGTGCCACCATACCTGGCTTATTTATTTAGTGACAGGATCCCACTTAGGCCAGGCTTACTGGGACTTAAGATCCCCTTGCCTCAGCCTTCAGAGTGTTGTGATCACAGGTAAGCACCACTACTCCTAGCTCATTGGACTTAGGGTGGGTTACTATGAGCAAGGCTCTGTGCTAGGCATTGGGTGTTCTAGGTCTCAGGAAACAATGATATGAAGTGCTGAGGTGGGAAGTTCCTGGGTGTTTGAAGAGCAGGAGGGAACCTGTGTGGGGCCCATGAGACTGGGAGCAAGCAGGGTAGTGATTGAACCACTCGGGAGTTTTTTTTTTCTTTTTGGTGCAGGGGATGGGGCTCAGGGTCTTGTGTGTGCTCAGCCTGTGCTTTTGCCACTAAGCTACAACCCCAGCCCTGAAGGAACTATTAAGATCTTCAGTGTCATGTGTGCCTCAGAGAGGAGTTTGGATTTTAAGAGCAGTGTAAAACTGTGGAAGGATGTGATCACGGGAGTGGCATGAACTGCTCTATTTAAAAATATCCTTCTGGCTGCTGGGAAGGCAGGCTCCTAGGAGGCAGTTGGAGTTCAGGGAGATGAGAGTGACAGGAGGCTTTGAAGCAGGGGTAGGGGGGAGCTTTGCAGGCAGCTTTCTTTATTGCCTTGTCATTAGAGTAGAGATGCTGACCAGTGAGATGCCACAAGAAAACACTGATTTATACGCATGGAATGTCTGCTACCCCAGA